CTATTATTTATATATATATATATATATATATATATATATATATATATATTGTTATACGATCATTTTTAGGTGGAACGGCCAAGCGTGATAACTATTCATGTAGCGGGTGATGGATATTTAGCTGAACTTTATAGAAGCATCATAAAATCGTTTACACCTCATGAAAATGAAGCGGAAATAGATACCTTGCTTTGTCTTCCGGATCCTATACCTCCCAATACGGATAAATATGTCCAAATCATCATTATAATACTTTTATGCTGGCTGATAACTGTCTTTGAACCTTATGGTTTACGATTAAGACAAGTGGTCATGTGCCAATATTACCCTGACAGAGCGAAACAAAGAGCAATTTGGCTGTACAATCATATCATCAGGTATGAGTGATATCCTTTTCGTTTCTGTGTTGAAAGAGAGAAGAATTAAATTATCTTTTATCTCTAAAAAAAAAAAAACGTGACTAGGTCAAGAGTGAGTTTTTTGAAGTTCGCTAGACGTCAATTGCGCCGAAAATTCGGTTTGAGCGGAGACGAAGTTGTCGAAAAAATGACATTAAAGGAGAAATTGTGGGCTATGTGTCCATTTTTGAACACGTTATTCCCATTAGAACAAACTGCATGTCTTCTATGTGGCGCGATCGAACGTCCTGAACACGAACCACATATTAAATGTCCAACACCTGGTTGCGTTGGTCTGTATTGCACGCAGTGTTTCGCAGATTTGCAAAAATTGTGCACAATTTGTCGAATGCCGGTGGAGTACGGTGATTTGACCGACATGAGTGAGGAGAAGTAAATCGTTTAATAATAAAAATATCTTAGTTCGATTTGTCAATTGTTACTAATAATTTTAAAATATTAGAGATTCAGAAATTGATGAACCAATAATAATACCATTAATACCTGAACCTGAAGAACCAGAAGTGGAAGAAGAAGAGATACCGGTGGAAGAAGAAGTGGAAGAAATTGTGGAAGAAGAAGAAGAAATAGAGATGATACCAGAGGAAGAAGAAATAGAGATGATACCAGAAGAAGAAGAAATAGAGATGATACCAGAGGAAGAAGAAATAGAGATGATACCAGAGGAAGAAGAAATAGAGATGATACCAGAGGAAGAAGAAATAGAGATGATACCAGAGGAAGAAGAAATAGAAGAAGAACCACCAATAGAGGAAGAACCACCAATAGAAGAAGAACTACCAATAGAGGAAGAACCGCCAATAGAGGAAGAACTACCAATAGAGGAAGAACCACCAATAGAGGAAGAACTACCAATAGAGGAAGAACCACCAATAGAAGAAGAACTACCAATAGAAGAAGAACCACCAATAGAGGAAGAACTACCAGTAGAGGAACCACCTATAGTCGAACCAGTAATAGAACCACCACCAGTAGAACCACCAGTTGAAAAACCAGATGTGTCTATCCTCAGTTTCGGTAAAAATTAATATATAAATACATATAAATTCAAATATATTTTTAGATTACTAGAATTACTAATTTCATTAAAAAATTAATTGTCTTAGAATATCAGGAAGAAGAACCTCCAGAGGAACCTCCAGAGATTGTAAAACCGAGAATACCTTTTAAAGATGTGGAAGCACAAAGAATAAGAGACGACGTAACGATTCAAGTGCGTTTCAATTTAAGATGATGAAATTGTTTTTGGCTAATTTATAAATAAAATTCCTTTTTTTTTTTTTCATTAAAATGTTATTTAGATATTTAACCAACCATTTGTAAAACTGTCATCCTCGAGCAGTGAATCAATGATCTCTCCCTTCGTTGTGAGGGCACGTAGAAAAATATGTGCCAAAATAAAAAAACGACCGATTGAGAAAGATTCCGATTCATCTACTTCAATCGCCGATACGGAATCCTGGACGAGCGAGATAGTCGACGAGGAAGAAGTAATACACATAGAAGTAGGCGACGACGAGGAAGAATTACTCCCGAGGGATCGACAGGATAAGAGGAAACTGGGTCGTATAAATAGAATCGTCAATGCAGTTGCAAGAATTCCTTGGCTCGGTAAAGGAGAAGTATGAATCACGCTAAATCTTCCAAATTTTTTCATATTTCTCTATCATTATTTGTTCGAAGACTTAAAGTTTCGCTGAAATATAGTTTTATTGCTTTGGCAGATTGACGAAAAGCCGCCGTGCAGAGGATTGCAAAAGAAACGTCCATCCCTTATGAATAAAATTGTCAGCATGCTTAGGAGAAAGGAATCAATGCCGATGCAATCATACAGAAGAGTTAGAAAGATAAAAGATTCCTCTTCCTCGTGTTCCTGCAACGATGAAAACGAGAGCCTGTTAAAAATAGAAGACAGAGCCACTGGGAATGTATATTTCGCTAAACGAATAACTAAAAGACCAACTATAGAGGATGATTGTGAAAATTTTAGCGAGATAGTCCCGTATGGAAGATTCGCCACGAAACAATTACCAAAGTAATTTTATATATTTAAAAAAGAAAAATTAGAGTTATTTTTGAATATTTAATGAATATACAATACGAAACAGGCATTTGGAATCCGCTGTGAAAGACACGTGTTATTTCGAGGTAGATGAAACTAAAAATTTACGTACACGAAAATGCGTTCGTCAAATGGAAGACGTTAAATCTGAATTATCAAGAGAAGATTTTGGAATTTCAGAAAGGAAACCTAGGATTTCGGGAAGATATCCTAGGTTTTCGAAAGGAAATCCTGAAAATTCTGAAATTACAAAAAGGAATCTGGAATTTCGGAAGAAGAATTTAAAATTTCAAATAAAGTAACCAGAATATCGAAAGAAGAACCTAGAATTCCGAAAGAAGAAGCTAAAATTTCAAGAAAAAGACCTAAAATTTTCGAAAAAAGTCGTAAATTTTTAGAAGTCGTAAAACCTTTGGAAACCATAAAGCCTTTGAAAACTTTATGGTCATCGAAAATTAAGAAAAAATTGATACAGATGAAGAAACGGAACTTGATGATATGGAACCCATAGAAATAAAAGTGGATAAAGCAACCGATTTACTACCGGATAAAAACAGATTCGTTCAAACAAAGTTTTATAAACACGACAAAGAAGATAAAAATGGTAAATCAGATACTAGAAATCCAGACGTAAAAAAGATTAGTAAACTTCCAAGGGAGTTAAGCAGGGAAAGGAAAAAGTATCGGGCAAGGTAAATGTTAAAATGGAAATGACGTAAACATATTGTTTTCAATGATTAATAATTGAAATTAATTAGGTGCAAGAAACATCATCGTAGCCGTTCGAAACGAAGAAGATGCAGTTGTTCAGAAGAATCAATATTAACAGACGATGAAGAAACATACGAGTACAAATCCAGATTAAAAAAACCATGTCGGTATGTTCCTGAAACACCTAGTAGAGAAAGAAGACAAATAAAAGAATGGGAATCGTGCGAAAATATTCATTTCCCATACGAATGCGAATGTTGTCCACGAAATTATAGAACGCATATTTATAAAAAGAGTTCTGAAATTCCTCGTGAATTTATTACGACAGAGCCAGAAGTAACAACGCGAAGACCCGAAATGCCTATGGTAAAAAGGTATTTACCTATGTATCAAACTCCAGAATTAATCGAAGAATTGAAAAGACACGATAGAATGAAATTAATTCAAGAAAAAGAAAGGAAAAAACAAAGACTTGGAAGCCCTTTTCGATGTTTAGACAGCTCAACGAGCAGTAGAATGGAGACTCAAAGGATCAATCCTTCTCTTGCATCTGAACGTTCGGTAAGCGTTGAAATTATAAGATTAAATACTTTGTTGATTTTTATAAAAATAAAAATAAGAATTATTTTGTTTTAAGTTCAAACTAATTCAGCAGGATAACAGATATCCTTATCAGGAGTCGCAAATTTATAAAAATGTCTTATGCGAATTTCAAAGAAGAATTGGATGTCGAGAAAGTCATAAATCTTGCGAAAGCATACCACTAATATGTTTGTCTGAAAAAGCAGATAAAAGTAAACGTGTAAAACAACTTTATCCAACCAAAAGTCAAAGTCAAAGAAAATCGGATCTGAAAAAATTCATTCGTAAAACGGTATTTAAAATAACTTGAAACTTGGATATTAATTATTACAATTTTTATATTTCTTTTTACATGTTTTAATTATTATTTTTTTTTTTTAGTCGCCTAAATGTAAACACAAGATGCACAAAGCAAATGTAAGGTTTAAACAAATGAAAAGTTGTGATTGCTCACACGATTCAGAAGTTTTAAGTGAAACATCCTCCGCTTGTAGTTGTGCCACATAAATCTTATACATCTACGAATGGAACAACAAATATATATATATATATATATATATATATATATATATATATATATAT